TAGGTGAAATTCATTTTCAGTAGAATAGATTCAACTCAAGGATCATACTTCCTCAAGGATTGCTTATTTATTTCACATTCATTTGAGTGACTTCATCTTTTTGGACTATATAGCAGGCAGAATTTGTGATTTTCGTTCATATTTTTAACTGATGAACAGATTTGCCCCTCTAATCATGTATTTTGGGAAAGTCACCTTTGCTGTCTTGGCCTATGATTTTGTATTTTACATGACCAGTGACATATTTAGAGTCTGGTTTCTTTTACGAGGAAAAAAGTAAACTTTGAAAACTGCCAGATCAACTTCATATGCTGTGTGTAACCCATGTTTTTCATTTTTCACTATGTTGTGTTTTATAACCCTCATGAATCAGACAAGCAAATTTTGTATGTTATAAGCAGTTATGATTTGGAAAGTGTTGCAGTTTAATTTCTCACATCTGTCAGTCATACTCATTGAAAGCTGTGTATAAGAGAAAACTGCAATAGTACACAGTGCCTATTCTACTGTAGTATATTAGTTGCATGGATCACAGTGCATTCTGTAATGGGCTAGAATTACCTATAGACACAGCTTTTTTAAAAATTAAGTAAAATTAAAACATTAAATTCCTCATGACAAACCTATTTTTCCATTGCTGGCCTTTTCAAGTATTTCAATAAAATAACTGTGTACTGTGTCTGTGCTTATTTTTTATTCTTTTTCTTTACCTTCTTGTGCCCTTAAAGGTGGAGCTTACCAGAACTTCGTCCTTTATGTAAATGGATGCTGCCGGTGCCCTCACTTTTTGGAGGTTACATATCTTGGCAGCGCAGTTTCTTTCATGCGTCCATTAGAAGTTTATTTCTGATTTATATCAGAAGACCAAGGTGCCTTATATAATACTAAAAGCTGAAATGCAAATAGTCAACCATGAACTTTGTATTTACTGTCAAGGACAAAGACTGTGAGAAAAGACCAAATAGTTCAGTGGGGTGTAGGAAGCTGTGGGCAGTGAATTGGTTAATATTTTCCTGTTGATTAAACAGGCTCCAGCAGTGCGGCGTTCCCAGGCAGCCGTGGGGAGTCCCGGGATGCTCCCGAGGGAATTCCCCGCGGGACCCCAGCCCGCCCGGGAGCGGCCGCCAGGGGGCGCTGCCGCCGAGCTCACGGGGCCGCGCTGCGCCCGCGACTGGCGGGAACGGCCCCGACAGCCCGGCCCGGCGGGAGCGGGGACGAACGGCTCCGACAGCCCGGCCCGGCGGGAGCGGGGACGAACGGCTCCGTCAGCCCGGCCCCGTGGGACCGGGAACGAACGGCTCCGTCAGCCCGGCCCGGCGGGAGCGGGAACGAACGGCCCGGTCAGCCCGGCCCGGCGGGAGCGGGAACGGCCCCATCAGCCCGGCCCGGCGGGAGCGGGTTCTGCCGCCCCCTGAGGGAAGCGCCCCTGGCCTGAGGCGCTGCCCGCCCGCCCTCACGTCCGAAGCGGCCAGCGCAGGTGAGGGAGCGGATCCCCGCCTGCCTATAGAAAACAGGCATTCCGCAGTGGTTTGGGGACAGGAATTTTCTTAGGAAGGAGAATACAGGTCTTGGTATCCAGCTCTGCTGTGGCCTCATCCAGGCAGGTTGTCCGGGTTCCCTGAGGGAGCCCTGCTGCCACTGGCTAAGCCCTCCTGAATCCTATGAGGATTGGAATTACCGTGACGGGAAATTCTTCTTCTCATGGAGCATATAATGAAGAATGTCCAAAAGTTAGCTACTGCAATTAAATGTTGGGAAGAAGGCACAGTACTCCAGTCCACTTACTCTTGACAGCGTTTTGTTTTCTTTCTTCTGCTGCCGTCAGTTTTCTAACAACTTCTTTCATTGTATTTTCCACAACCAGACTCAATTTCTTCATGCTCAGTCTGATGTGTGAATTACCTGACCATGGTGTAAAGCCACTGAGAGGACAAAGACCTTGACTGATCTTCCTTGGAGACACACCCTTCACCCCTCAGCTTTGACGTCTTGTCTGAAAGCCTGTCAGTTCAGGATTAATAGTAAGCAAGACTTGATTTTATGTTCGAAATTAACCTTGAATTACTAACTGATCTCCATTTCAAACAATTCTTTTGTTTAGGAATGAACCTGTGTTACATCACCAGCAGGTGACAGGTAAAAACAAGCAGACACATCTTAAAATACCACAAGGCTGACCTGATAGGAGAGCTCCCTTTTAAGACAACTGCCCCAAAAAGCGTTAATGGCAGATTTAATTATTTCCCTAACCAAAAGGACAATTTGAACCAGCTGCAACCAATAAAAGAGGGCTGCAGGTGGAAAGACTAGTCCTTTTTCAGTGCTGCACTTAAAAAGTTCTAAGTACAGCATGGAATAGGGACAGTCAGGAGGATGGTCTTTCAACACAGGTTAGGAATCACAAAAGAGGCTGGACTTTATTTTTTCCCACTATTCCTTCACTTCAGGAGGGAGAGTACCCATGAGTCAGGGGAAAGCCAAATAGCAGCACATATAGTCTAATTCATATTTGTTCTGAAAGGTAAACTTGTGTTGTCCCAGCACAAGGAGTATGATGCTTGAAGAGACCTTTATCACTGTTACCTTTTGAAGTTGAGTTTAAGCCCTTGTCTCAAACCATCAGTAGTCCTTAGAGGTTTTTAACAGTTTTCATAAATCTGAAGGGCTTAATCTGATCCAGTCCCAGCTGTGTATGTGCTATCTAATATTCTCCTAAGGTTGTGTGCAGCATTTTGGGGTTTTGATCCAAAATGCTGCATTTTCCTTCAGAAGTTGTCTCCCAAGTCTGGCCAACTGGCTGAGCTCTGGTGTGGAAATCAAGCTGAGTAGGTTTCTCCACATAGTTCCACTTGTCAGAATTGGGAAGTTTTGTAGATTTGGGGCTACTTGGGGTGGAGGAAGGACTGGTGAACAAAGTGTTTCACTTTAGCTAACAGATGTTGGCTGGGTCCCTTCTTTGAGGAGGGTTTTTGCATATTCATCAGCTGACCTTTTGAGCCACTTCCAATGCAGGAAGGACACACAGCTATATTTTGTCTGGAATATAAAAGTTACCTATATGACTGAGTGTGAAAATGGATTGGGGTTTATTATCTCAAGTAATTTCTGTCTGCATTTCTCTGAAACCCTTCCTTCTGTCTGCATCTGCTCTGGGGTGGCCCACAAACCCCCCAGTTTATCTAGCAATTACTGTCTTCCAAGGCAGAGTCACCAGGGTATGCAGTGGGGAGAAATGACATTCTAAATTAAGAGCCTCTCACACACTTGCAAGACGATAATTTGTGTGTAACAAAACTCCTCATTAGAATACTGTTAATTTCCTTTCTGTGACAATTATAGCACAGCACTAGCTCATATGTGCAATGTGCAGAGATATTTCCTTGGAAAAAAAAAAAAACAAAAAAAAACACCAAAACCTATCATTACCACTAGTAAAAAACAGTCCTTAGAGGAGATAAATGAACTTGTAATTTTGCAGCAACTTCTCAATTTAGTGGGAATTTGGTGTTAAGGTAAGGAGTTTGGGGGGTTCTCCCTGTTGTTGATTTTTATTCATGTTAGACTTCACAGTTGGCATTTTCCCACTAGCATCTGGAATCAGAGATGATAGAGTCCCCAACTGGGTGGAACCTGTTACCCCTGAAATTCAGCTCATGTATTCTCTCTTTACTCTAAAAACTCGCTTCCCTCCTCCCTACAGACATGTTTAAATGACTGCTATTTCTTTCTGTTGGCATAGCATATTTTTGCTTATCCATCTGTTTTGAAGTTTTGATGAGGTCTAGTTTTTCAATCAAAAAGAGATTGTTTGTATAATCACTGTTTAGTGCCTGGAATATTTTGGCAGGAGTGGTGTTGTATGAGTGAAGTGGGTTAGTGCTTCTCAGAAGTGCTGGATTTGGTATCCTGTTCTTATGCTTCGGGAGAGCAGGCTGCACAGTCGCTAGAGCAGGGAGAAATGGCTCAAGGAATTGCCTTTAAATGGCAAGGTCTGCTCTGTTTCACTGATGTAATGAAGGGGACAGAAGCCCTCCTCTTCATCAGCTGCACTGAAGACCTCAGAAGAGCTTTTATTTGGTTATTTTCCTACATGAATCCTGAGCTTGAAAAGTTCTCTTCAGGTCTAAGGACTCTGGTTTTACTTCTCTGCTGTATGCTCTGCTACTGCAGGATGGAAAATACTGCTCCTTTTCCAGAGGTATTCTAGCTGATTTGGTTTACTTTTTGGTTTTGTGGTTGGTTGATTTTTAAACAGATTATAGAGAAAAGGGACTTCCAGCTTGGTTCTGTACTCGTGACTGAGGTGTGTCTGATCTGGTACTGGACCTTTTCATCAAGAAAACATGGCCTGTGGTGCTGGACTCTGCTCTGACTGTGCTTTGTCTGGCTTTTAGCAGAAAGCAGAGGCACAGGCACCATGTGGATCAGCCTGGCTCTGCTTGCCCTTCCCCCTTGCCAACCTGCTATTTCTGTACTTGATTGGAAGAAGCTAAAACTGCTGGATTTTTGCCGGCAGTGAAGGCATTCCTCAAGTTCCTAATCCAGGCTCCAGATGGTTAAGTTGTCCATCCTGACATATAGGAACAAGTAATTATGGTAAAAGATGTGAAACCCCACACCAGCCTCTCACGGTGAGACTCTAAGACAGAGAAGTCGCCTGCAGGGAGCCCCGATGAACCGGCACGTCTGGTCACCTGTCCGCGGGCAGGAGGGCAGGGCTGGAACCGGCCGAGCCCCGCCGCAGGGGCTGCCCGGTGCCGGTCACGGCCGAGCCTCCGCGGGTCGCCCCGTGGGAGGCGGTGCCGGCCGTGGGCAGGGGCCACCCGGCGCTGCTCCCCCCGCCGCCGCCAAGCCCGCATCCTCGGACGTGTCGCAGCTCCGGGCTCTGCTTCCGAGAGCCCCCGGGGCTCCCCCCGCGCCGGGAAGGGCGGACCCCCGTCCCGGCGATGGCTCGGCCGCAGGGGCGGGAGGCGGGGAGGGGTCACTGCCCCGGCCGGGGCTCGGCCGCCGGGATGCCGCCCGCCGGCGCTGCCCGCGCTAATTGGATATTCCGTGGATGGAGGATTTCCTCCCCTCCCGGCTGCGGGAGTCATGAAGGCAGGCTCGGCTGCGCTTGAAAGTTTGCCAACCAGCAGCTAGGTTTAATTTCTTTAAGGATCTGGGGAGAAGGGGGGCGGGGGCTGGAGGGGGACCGTTTCCAAGCATGGGAGACAGGCTGCCGGAGCCTCACGCCAGCTCTTCCCCTGCTGTGGCTGCCAGCTCGGAGGCGGAAGAAATCGAGGTGCTGGACTCCGAAGATGTCCTACCTATGGCCGCAGAGGATGTAAGTTTCCTTTGCTCGGTATCTTCCCCCCTTTCCCCCGGGCCGGGATAATCGGCTCAAGCTATTCATAGCTGAAGCCCGGGATGGGCACAGAGCGGGGCCGGTGACCCTGCGGGACCAGGGAAAGCCGCTGTCCCCGCCGCCCTCCCGCCGCCCTACGCGCCTCCCGCCGCTGGTTGTCTGCGGGCTCCGGCAGCCGCCGGGCTGGCTCCGTCCCCGGGCCGCAGCTCCCGTCCTTCCAAGCCCCGGCGGCCCAGACAGGCTCCCGGTTCGCTGGGTGTCCGCGTCCGGTGGGGAGATGCCGGCGGGTGGCAGCTGACCGCGAAGGGACACCAGACTGCGCACGGACGCGACTCTGGAGCCTGGAGAGGAGCTGACGCCTTGGCTCGAGGGGCTGAGAGCTTCTCCAGAGTCACAGCCAGCCTGAGGGCGACTGATGTGAAACGCTCCCGCTCTTGGGAGCTGCTCTCTCTTCCAGCCCCCGAGCAACAAACAGTCGAGTAAGTTTTCTCCTCGGCTCGACAGGGCTGATGGCTTCTCTCCACCTTCCGAGCTCTGATGGCACGTGAGGGTGGGATAACTTGGCACCGGCTCTCTGCTCACCCAGCCCAGAAGGACGCGAAGGGGTCCTGCGCACTCCAGATCTGCTCCTGCCGTGCTGAGCGGCAGTGCCTGCAGAGCTGAGGCAGTTGTTCTGCATCTGCCGGACTCGGAGGCAGGAGCTCGCCGTGCACCTGTCTGGGAGGGAGTGAACATGAGAGATCCTGCATTCCTGGTGCATCCCAGGACTGCTCACAGCTCTCATTCCCAGCAAACTCAGCTGGGATGAGGACTGAAAAGTGTCTGCTCAGTGTGCAGCGGCAAGTGCAGGGTCTGTTCCAGCCTGTCAGACATAAAGCAGAGATACTAAATGTCTTTCTGAAGCGGGCTCTGACTCGGGTCTTGCACCACTACAAAAGGAACACTTGGGAGCTGAACGTCCCGCAATGGCACATCGCCCTCGGCCCTCTCTCGTAACTTTATGATGCTGCTGGAGGAAGCCGCCCAGGCATGCTTAGGGACAGAGCCTGTTCTTTACCCCCCAACCCTTCCTTCTGAATCACCTACAATTCGGTTGCTGTTGGATTTTCCTCCCAGAGGGCAGTGGAGGAAGTGCACTTGCTTGCTAGAGCTGCATTCCCCAGTCTGTGTTCCTGAGCACAGTGCAGTCAGGAGGGAGCGTGTGATGCAGATTGACCTCTGCTACAACACTGCCAGACAGTCCTAAGAGGAGATGCCTGACTCAGGGGCATGTATAGCTTTGACTTGGAAAGGGTGGCTTTCCAGGAGCTTTCACAGTCCAGGTTTCTACATCCCATTGCTTGCTTACATCAGCTGTGACCTTTTCTTCTCTAACAAATTTTGTGCTTGTTTGGATGGTCCTACAAGAAAGATTTCCTGTTGTGATACATGTGAGCCCCTTGGAGTTGCTCCAGCCTCTACATAAATGCAGCCATTAGCAATTCAATCCTGCCAAGGGGCCCAGGAGATGCTGAAATGCTGAGTGCCTGGCAGGATTGGACTCCTGGGACAGGAGGTGTCCCTCATGAAGTCTAGATTCTCATCCCAGTTCTACTGCTGCCTTCCTGCTTGACCTTGAGGTAGGACAGCTTGGGTCAGATCCAGCTTGCAGTGTCTTGCCATTACTTGCATTGTTATTTGACTCTGGTACCTTGTTTTCTATAATCAACAAAACTAAAGCCTGCAGCTGCACTGGTTATGGGAAGCTGCTGAGACCTGGCAATAGATGATGTGACAGAAGCCTGAGGTATCATGTATCATCTGCAAGTCAGAAAAGCAGGAAGTGGTGTAAATGCCCTCCTTCTACTCCGCCAAGATTTCCTGCTGAAACAAGCAGGCTACAGAGCATCATCTCTGAACATTTCATCTGCTCTGTGCTACTCTGTGCCCCCTGAGACCTTACTGGGAGTTGATTTTGTGTTGTTGCTATTACATCTGAAAGCTTGATGGAAGCTCTCTGGCTTGGCCAGCAAGAACTGACACAAGGTCAATTCTTTCTGTGTTATTAACCACAAAAATATAACACAGTGGAGGTTTGGCTGTGACAGCCTTGACAGTGTGTAACAGCTCAGCTGTGATGTCATTGTAGCTCTCAGAGCAGCATTCCATAAGCCAGGATTCCGTCCCAAAATGTTCTGTTTAAAATGCTGGGCTGATTTATGATGATAAATGAGAGCTTATAAATGGAGAGAGACATGGGGGGGAAGGGAGCCAACAACTTAACTAATGAAAAAGAATTCAGTGGCCTGATACCCCACTGTCTGTCCAGTCAATTCTGTGTTAGATTTGCCTACCATGTGAAAGGAAATGTTCTTCTAGGACTAGATAAGACTCTCACCACATTTCTGCTTTGTTAATAGCACTGTGAGAAGAGTCTTATAAGAGTCTGATATTTGTTGCTTTACTCAATTTGATTTTTTTCTGGGAAGGTGAATGAGGCATAAAAAACCACGGACCTGGAAATGTGCAAAGGTTTCTAGGGATCCTAAGACAGTGGTTATCCCAGTGCTGCCCCATGGAAGTTGCTGTCTTTTCAACTGGCTCCTAAACCCAGGATAGACGAGAGTCTTAAACAAGTCAGTAGGAATTTCCTCTGTTTCACAGGACAGTGAGGCAGCAAGTCTGGGTCATGGAGGTGAGCTGACACCAGTCCCTCTACAAAGCATAAATCAGAGCCAGTTTCCAGTTTATTTTTTCAGTATCCAAGTGACAAGGACTTGTGCAGTGTTCACATGGTTGTGAACATTGAAGTGGAGCTTCCTCCTAGACAGCATTTTTAAGGCAGATCTTATAGAACAAAAGATGTAGGGTAAATCCTTGCAGTGGGCTCTCTCCAGCCTTCCACCCTCCCACCTTGCACATGAGGGATTACCTGTTTTTCAGATGTGGACATGTGAGGCTCAGAGAACTGATGGGTTATCAAAAAGCCTGCAGAAAGCCAGAGTCAGGAGCAGGCAGTAGACAGGGCTCTGATAACCCAGCAGAGTAATTGATGGGTCAGTGTTGGGCCACAGGATCTCAGAAAGTGATCTGGAGAAAACATTGCTAATTTGTCTCTTCCCTCAATATACACAGAGCTTTCTTGATCTCTGTGAGTAAAAACCCCTTTTTTCCTTGCTTGCCTGCAAATAGACAAAGTGGGAGAAAACAGAATTAACACATGAATGTTTTGAGTTCATCCTAATTCGGATTTGTAAATGAAAACTGTTCTCCCTGTGTTTGGTAGATTCCCCTTCCTCCTCCTCCGGAAGGGTAGGTGATTCTGGGATGAAGAAGGATGTTGGAAATGGCATTAAATAATTTGGTTATTTCTCTGTTAGAATATAGTTCTACACTTTACTGCATGTTAATGGTCTTGCTCTTATACCTTCTTTTTACTCTTTTTCCTCCCTTATGCTGCCTCTCAGCACTGGAAAGTCCTATTTGATCAGGTATGTGAACATGATATATTCTCTCTGTCTTGTCAGCAAAGAGCCTAACCTCTGGGTAATTTCCTCTGTAGTGGCTTTCCCCTGCATTTCAAATACAGCCTAGGAATAATGTGCTGCATGCTCCCAGTTCCCAGGATGCTGGTGTGCAAGTCATAATTATCACGGCTGCTCTGGGCCTTTCTCTCAGTTACTCTGCAGGAGCAGGGAGAGGAGTGAGCCCATTCCTGGTGGCTCAGGGGCTGAGCCAAGGTGCTGCAGCAGGTGCTCTGTTTCCTGCCACTTGTGCTGTCCTTGCTTGTGGATTAAAGGATCTTCTACTCTTTCAGACAGGCAGACTAAGACCTGTAAAACCAGCACAGTGTTCTTTGAAATGGCTCCCCAGCTGCTAAACTGACTTCTGCAGGGTTACATCATCCAGGCAGGACCTGCTGCTTTAAACTTGCACAGGGTTAGCAAAGAATCTGCTTCTGTACCAAAGACTTTGGTTATGTCAGGTAAATGCCTTGGGTCAGATCTGTAGATGGCTGAAGTCAGCAGAGCTCTGAAGAGCTCCGAACTATAGCTGCTGAGATTTTGGGTTCTGGATTCTAGTTTGTAAATTATGCTTTTAGCTGCTTTAACTGACATGTTTGCTTTGTGGTCTCCCTTCCATCTGCCGGGTTGAAATGTGTAGCAGCTATAAACAGAGGGATTTTTCTAGGGTTGATTTGCTTCTAAACTGCAGCACTCTCCTGATGTCATAAACTTTTGTGCTGTTGTGCGTGCATGTAAATGTCACCTTCTGTAAGGGAGCTTCCTCTGACGCTGGCATCATCCTGGCAATAAAGTTCGGATGGGATTTCATCCCTGTTTTATGAAGCCATAATCTTGCCTCTGTGTCTGGCTGAATTACAAAGCCAAAAGCTGTGGTGCAGCCAGTGAAAGGATGTCCTTGGTACCCTGGGGGTCCTGTTATCATTCAGCTATTAACTGGGGCTGCCTGTTCTGATGAGTGCTCATTTATACACGGTTAGCTGTGACCAACTGCTAATCCACATGTCTGGACTGCAGCAAGTTGGCTGTGGTAAAGTCAGCAGGCAGTTGGGAGCTGGGAATTATGACTGATAATTGATAAGCTGGGATTGTTGATCACACCTAAATTGTGTGGTGTGTTTGAATCTGCTGGGGCTCATAGGAGATGCTGCCACTGAAAAGGTGGATACACAATAAATTGCTTGTGGTCTGGGCTGAATGTTTGTTCCAGCTGCTTTGAATTCTCCTGTCTCCAACACTGGCCCTAATTTGGAGTCTAATTCTACAAGCATCCTTTGAAGTCATTGAGTCCTTGTGGGATGGGGCTGTTGGCTGGTAGCTACCTCAGGCTCAAAGAGAGGAATCTGTAATTTCCCATTGGACTTGTTTGAATAGTAGATGGGATTTTTCCCTTTTTCTTTCTTTTCTTTTTTTTTTTTTTTTTTTTTTTCTTTTCTTTTCAAGGGGAAGGAGTTTGACTGTTACTGTTGGATGTACAGAACACTAGCCCAGTAACAATGGAAAAGGCTGTAAAGACAGACCTTCAATAATTAGCTGTGTTTCAATTAGGGCTACAGCTGAATTTTAAAACTTGTCTGTAAGACTTTATTATCAAAGAGAATGCAACCTGTGACAACTACACATAAGTCCTGAATAAATCAATAATGTCCTTGTTGCCTGTGGGCAAACCTGACATCTTCCTGGAGCGTTATATCAGCAAAGCAATGCAATTAGTCCTGCAGTGAATTGCAAGATGCTGTTTGTCATGGAACAAGCTTGCTATTCCCAGCAGCAAGGTGCCAGGAGGAGAGGGGAGCACTTCGTTTAGCTCTGATTGGCATACATGTGAAACATGAGGACAGTAACTAGAGAAAGGCTGTGTGTTGACACTGGGAACAGTTGCAGCTCCCTCTGGGAGTCAGGACCTGGCTGGGTGGGTACTTGGGGAGGAAATGGGCGGCCCAGGGTGTACGTGCATTTCTGACTCATGGGCTGGGACTGAGGTTTGAGAGCCACCCTCTCAGCTGAGACACCTAGGCTGCTGCACTCACCAGCCCCCAGGAGAGCAAGAGAAGGCTCTGGAGAAAGTGTTAAGAGTAGTTGGGAATTTACAGGCTGGTAGTCTGCAAGTGGCTTGTTGGCTGTTATACTCCATCATCCCAGAAAACTATGAAGGACAGGTCAGCGCACACACACAGCATTTGAGAGGGGAATGAAATTATTATTAATGCTTGCTTGTTTTTTTTTTCCCTGAGGAAGTATTTTTAAAACTTTATTTAAGTTTACTGACCAAAAAAAGCAGCAAGTTTTCTGTTTAGACATACAAAATTTAAGGGGTTTCATTTTTTTATGATCTCCCCTTCCCCAGCTTAAATGAAAAATTCAAAACTTCTTGATGGAAAGATTTCTGCTCAGCCATGAAGCAGTGCTTTTTGCTTGGTTATTTTAGGAGAGAGGAGTGACTGACCGTGTATTCTGTAGGAATTTTTTATTTGTTTTGATCCAGCTCTAATCTGTCACACCGGGAACTGTCAGTGACTCAAGCCAAGATCTTCAGCCACTTGCAGATTGATTTATTTAAGAAGTAAAGGAACTTAAATTTGACAAAAATTCAGACCCAGAACTGCTTCCTATGCTTTGAGGTTCAAAGAAGCCCCTCCCAGGACAAAATCCTGACTACACTGAAGCAAGTACTGAAATTCCTCCTGGATTTAGTGGGGTCAGCACTTCACCCAGGAGTTTGGGAGCAGGCAGACTCACAGCTCTTCAGTGCTGCAGCCAGACAGTTACAGTTCAGCTGCTGCCTCATACTGTGCTTGCAATATGTGGTTTTTATTACAAGGCCATGGCCCTCGGGCAGCTCTAACTCACTTTTATATGGGAACTTTTATAGGAATTCATACATTTATTTATTGTGCTCATAAACACCCTCCACCCCCACACACACATTAGCTCTGCATCTGCTGCCTTCTGCAGAGCTTGCACCATCGCTGCGTGCTCTGTGCTGTCTCTGTGAAGAATCTGAGCTCTGAGCAGAGCAATCTCTCTACATCCCTCCGCAATCACTTGGGGTTTTCTTCATTTGTCCTTCAGTGGCCACAGCCCCATTTTTTTGTTAATCTTCTGGTAAAGCTGAAAATGTGACAATCCCAGGAGCAGCTGCTGACAGTTTCATGCTTCTCTGTGTTAATAAGATTAGTTAATTGCCTTGCACTCAGACATGAGAACATCTCCCAGTCCTTGCTGAAGCCAAGTTGCCTGATGGTTGGAGTCTGCAGATGAGTGTCCTGAGGGGCTGTTCCTGCTTTGCTGTGTCCTCTCTAGGGTCTCAGGTGCAATCCTTCGCTGCCGTGTCCCCAGTGCCCCCGCTTTGGCAGTGACTGCAGCTGGTTGGTGTTACCCAGCCCTTGGCTGGGCTGGGTGAAAGGGGCTATCTAGGACAACAGTGTTTGTTCTTGGGACAGACCTGCTTTCTGGAGGTGGCTTTTAACCTTGTTAGATGCTAAGAGCTTGTGTCATCTCTGTTTCCCCATCCCCGTGGCTGTTGAGATTTTGAGGGTGAATTAGCATTATCAGCCCTCATCTTGGAGTTCTCACTTCTTCTCACCCATACCCTGGTTTGTAGCCATGACAACAAACTTGTTTTAAATAGACACACAAAAAACTCTCCAAAAAGACTCTCCTTACTGCCTCAACACCTTGATCCTATTGCTTGTCAATCCAGGCTGTGTTTTTGTTGCAGCTGCTTTAGAAATCCTAGATTTTTCCCTGAGACTTGTATGTGGGTGTGATGGCAACAGATGAACAGAGTTTATGGGGAATGCAGAGAGATGCCAAGTTACCCAGTCTGTGTAGGCAGCTAATGGAAAACTTGAGCTCAGAAACAAGGCTGTAGAGATAGACATGCACTTGCCAGGAGAAGTTCAGTTGCTGACACTACCAGCAGTGGGTGCAGCTGAACCTGCTCCACCGTGGTCTCATAAAGCATTAAAATATGCTTTAAAAGATGCTGACTTTGCACTGCCTTTAATCCAGGGCTGGTTACTGCACAATTGAAATTGCAGAGCAATCCATAAAATTGGGGCAGCTATTATCATGGTTGGTGGTAACCGGGGAAAGGAATTATTTTGAACTTAATGATCCTTTATGTTAACTGTCCCTTTTCTCTGGGTAGCCCTTAGTGCAGGCAGGCAGAGCTATTTCCCACGCTGTAAAAGAAATTCCAGTTTATTTACTGGGGCACTGTTGAGCTAAACATGACCCTTCACTTTGAAACATTTCCCCGCCTATTGTTGCTGGCAAACCCCTGCCAGCTGTGGCTGCAAGACCTCTCCAGGCAGGTCTCACTGAGCAGTAGGCAGTGGTTTGTGCCTTGAGATTTCACCTCTTTCTCTAACAAACAATTTATGTCCCACTGATGGTTTGTTGGATCACTGGGAACAGGTGGAGCACAAACTGTAATAGAAAGAATAGGAAATTATGGCAGTGATAGCAGCAGTATATCCGGGGGGTTGAGCCCAGGGTTTTGTGTAGCCTTCAAGTCCTTGCCTGAATTTTAGACTATTGCTGCCTTTATAGTGTTCATTGGGACATCTGTCCACATTTAAATGGAGTGGTGCTGCGGACTCGAGGCTATGGAAACAGTGATTAGGAAATAGTCATCAACTTGTTACTTCATCTGCTAAAGTGACTGGGGAATCGAGGTGCTGGTGGGAAGACTGTCCATGGTGATAAGAGATTAGCACCCAGGCCCCAAACCAGCATTTGCCTTGTCTTCCATATCAGATGCTTCTGAGAATGTGACAGGAAATGTGTCCCCTTCTCCCCCTCTGCCAAGATGTGCATTGTAAAAGGGAGAGACATTTTAAAATCTACAAGGATCTCTTTACAATGCACAGAGGGGGCTCTGCATCTGCCCCACGCCTTGAAGTCTAATCTCATTTACAGTTGTCAGCGTGGGCTGCTGAAGGAGATGAAAGGCAGAGGAC